TACAGAATAAGCATTAAAAACCAAGATCCAAATCCTCGAGATACAGAAGCTAAAATGATACTAGTGTTGATTTATTTACCTTACGATGTTTGGATCAAATCCTATAGCATAATATGTGATAGAAACCCAAATGGAAGACTCGATAATTGAGATTGGGATCTTGACTATCCATGCAGGCAACGTATAAGCCCATACAGGAAAGAAGAGAAGGTTGTGCTGCTTGAAGAAGACCGGAAGCTTCAAGATAGTGAAAGGAACCTCTGAGCACCCATTGAACATAGCTGCAATTACTGTAAAGAACAATGCACCCATAAAGATGAATCCATCTGTCTGTGTCTCCTTCGGCATCTTGATTCGCAGGAACAGTGTCATTGTTATAGAAGCCAATAACAGATGCTGAAATCACCAAACTCTTAACACTTAGTGTAATGATACAAATAACTGTATATAAATAGTTGTTTCAAATGCATCCGCGAAACCTATACGTTTTCTCTGGACTATTGCAATACATAAAACATAAATTAACATGGTGCTACAACCACACCAGGATATTTTGTATAAACACAAAACAAAAAAGACAAGATATATGAAACTTGCTGGATGACTCACTTGTATTATCTTGAACAAGTAGACAAATATATTCCTCTTCATGAGAAGGATTTCTCTAGACATGCAAGCTTTCAAAAGTTCCCTCTTTTTAACGCCATACTTGTTGGTGGTTAGAGCATCAGGATGCTTGTTAGCCTTGTCAAAAGGAACAGAAAGGTCATTTGAAAGTTCGCGTCCGACATGGAAGGACTGAAATGCTTCAAAGAACTCCCTGGACGAAACAAATTTGTATGGCTCATCTTTCCTTGCCCAGTATTGCTCCTGATCTTTCCTAGAGGTCACCTACGTAAGGAAATTTAATGGTTCAGTCGATACTATGGTTTTAACACGCAAGTAGAAAACAGTAATGAAGCATGAGATTTACTTCTTGCAAGAAATCAGCTACTCCCTTTCTCCTAGGACATTTAAATCCGACATACTCAAAGAATTCAAGGACATGTTCACGTGGACCTTGATACACAATTCGCCCATCCGCCAAAAGAATCACGTCATCAAAAAGGCCGTAAGTTTCCGGTGCAGGCTGCAGGAGGGAGATAAGAGCAGTTCCCTTAAGAATGTGAATGGATTGTCTAATAGATTTGACGATTTGGAAGGTCGTTGAACTGTCTAATCCAGTTGATATTTCATCCATAAATAGAGCTCTTGCTGGTCCAACCATCATCTCTCCTGATCAGGGCGAGAAGAAGAGGAAGGACTTCAACAACAACAATTGACGATAAAACGAAGAAAATCAAACATTTCCTCTAAATGGAAATTTAAAAGGCTTAAAATGATATTGTTGTTAAATCAAGATAGACTACTTTCACTATATATATATATATATAGTCAGGATTTTCACTAAGGGAGTTCGAAATACGGAAAGTAGACACACGAAGAGGCCAAAAGATGTTCAAAGTCAACTATATATAAGTAACAAAATAGTTTTAACCATATATGACAGTATGATATATAGTCAAAGGTGTTGAATTGTATAGAAATGACAGTACCTGTGGTGAGTCTCTTTAGCTGTCCACCAGAAATCCCTCGTACCATTTCATCACCAACTAGTGTCTCAGCACATATCTCAAGACCTAATATCTGTTAATTAAGAGTTAATAGGCAAGAAATAGATTTGTTTAGGCACTCGTGAGTTTAGGATTACCTTGAGGGTATAATCTGTTATTATATTTGGCTCTTTCCCTTGAACTGATGCTGCCTGGAAAACAAATCATTTTGACAAAAACAGGTCAGTTATCAAAATTCCCTTTTACAACAAAAACTGAGTGTTAATCTTCATATGATACCTTCATAAACATGTCAATATCAGGATCTGGCTTTATATTTGCTTCCTTTTCTCTCTTTAACAACTCCTCCAACATCTCTGCATCATTAGTAAACATCTGAATGGACAGAAACATTATGATTTATGACTTCTTTACTTAGCCTACTGTTTAACAAAATCATAATAAGACATTTAATCAGATGAACACAACAATGAGTTCAATCAAAATCATGACAAAACATAGAAAAAGACACTAAATCAAGTTTGTATAAAATTTGAACGTTTTGATTCGTGGAAATTTTTTTTTTATTTGGATGACGATGAGATTCGATCGCAGACCTCTACCTGCTCTGATACCATATTAAAGTGTCAGAGAAACTTTTATTAGTTAATAATATTCTCGAATTAAAAGCTTAAACAAACTCATTTTGTTTTGAAGTGTATTATTTAAGTAAGATTAGTATTTAAAATATTCTAGTATTATCTAACTCAAAAATCCTAAATAGTTGGAAAAAACTAAATGAAAATTTTATTAATATAAATAATATATAGTTTGTGATTATAGATAATCCTCTTAAGAAAAAAGATCAATTTGATTTATTCTAACTCTTTTATATCTTGTTTCTACAAGAAAAATAGAAGGAAAGTTAATCACAAATAGATTGATATGAACATCATAAACTGTCTCGTAATAAAATCAATATTTATGCATATAAAAATAACATTATACTAACCATAACGAGGTCCAACTCCTTGACATCGAGCTGAAAATTCAAGAGTCTCCCTCACCGTTAGATTTGCTAGATGAACATCATCTTGACTTATATATGCACATGTTCTTTCTGGTACAAATTCATCCATTCCATGCCCATTATAACTTACTTTCCCACAAACCTAATAAAATTATTTTTTTCAAGGAAAGAAAGGGGATAAAGCATAGGTTAGTAAAGATATAATATAGTGCTGATGGAGAAAATTGTCTTAATCTATGCTAATAACGCTAGTAAAGTTTCTTGTAATAGTTCACTATTTGACTGGACTTGTTCAAAAAAATTGAGATATTTCAAATTGTTTGTTGACATGGATGATTAAGTTAAGGAACTATTTTAACATTATATTGAACCTTGATGTAAGAGTTCTGAATCGAATCTCTTTGAAAAGAAGATATATTTTTTCTCATGGTAGTTTGCTTCAGTTTCCTTACAAAATTTTTGTTATTGAGTTATCATACCGTTTATATATTTTTAGAAATATATATGGCATTATCAAATGATACAACTCTTGAATATGAATATGCAACGCAATCACTAATGTACACCAAGTTTGGAGGGAGGAAATGGAGTTATACCATTAGTCAGGATTCAAACTAGACATTTATAAATTGTTACTTTTATGCAAAGGTAACATTGTAGTTTAATCATAATAAAACATACACCAATATATAGTGAAAAAAAATAAAGTGATATATAATTTGACTTTAAGTTATTGCTCTTAAAAGCGTGTCGTGGCAACCTTAGACAAATAAGTAAAAATATTAGTAGTTTATTTGATTGTCTATCTAAACTCTCTATCTTATCTGTAAGAATTTGATTTCTCACTTTATAATCTCCTCCCTATCCCCCCTCCACCCCTCCTCATGTATAACAAAAAAAAATTGATTAAAAAAAAGATAGTAGATGTCTGGTTAATTTCTTTTCCCTCTTAGAAGCTCCATCCTTAATAACTTGAACTTACGATTTCCTGCTTTCATCATAATAACATTTTTTTTTGTACTCGATGTGAACCATGAGGAAATAATAAATCAAAGTTGATGGAAAATGTAGTGGAAGTATGATTTATCCTCATCATTATCATAATCTATAGTTTTCCTCATAATTATCATAATCTATAGAATTTGAAGAAGATTAAAAAATATTGTCACTTTATTCTAAAATTTTAATGATTTCGTTGGCTTTGACTTGAGATCTTATTTTATCATATCTCATAACTTGCTCTAAGCTGGCAGAAATCATCGTGCTCATGGTGAAGGAAAGGTGGATGTTTGTGAGAAATATTTTTTTTAAAAATATGAATTTTAATTAAAAAGAGAGTTAAATTTGATATCATAAATCACAAAGAAAAATTAGTGTTGCCAAGTCATAATTTTTTTTTTCAATAGCACTTTAATTTCCCCTTAAATATTAAATGTTTAGTATAGAGTTTATTTAATTAATATGTATACAAAAGAAGTACTCCCATCATCCACTAGTAATATTCGTACTTTTTCATTTTTAAAGTCGAACTATAAAAACTTTGATTAATATTATACGACATATTTTTCATCATATAGATATATGCAAAAAATTGCAATACATAATACTTTTCATATAGTTTTTGAATATCTAAATATTGTCTAAAATATCGAATAAATGTAATCTAATTTAACTTTGAAAATTAATCAAATTAACTTTTAAAAAGCATAACATGACAAATGAAAGCATAATATAAATTTCATATTAGCTCACCTTTACATCTGAATTTAGCTTTCCAGCTAAAGCTAGTAGTAATGTTGTCTTGCCGCAACCTGGCGGACCTAAAAGTAGTGTCATTCTGCAAAACTAAACAATATTATTGACCATTCGATTTTCGATATTAATATTGAAGTCTGATAAAATTTGAATTTGCACTATTATTTCCTAATAAAGGTAACTTCATATATAGAGGGGCACTCGGAAGGTGTCTTCCTACCCAGTGTTTAGTATCAAAATGTTGGCATTTTACTAAAGGAAAAATGATAAATATATCCTCAAACTGTTGTAAATGATATGTAGATATAATCCGTCATACTTTAGGGACATTGATACCTCCACTGTATAAAAAGTAGAGCATATATATCCTTTTTACTAACGGATATATACGTGTCATAATCTTATCGATCCATCATTTATTAAATATTGGATCGACAAATTAGATTGTGTCACGTGTTCCTATTTAATCTGGTGTTAGAGTGCAAGACATATATTCTCTAGTTTATGAATGTCTGAGTCACTAATATCCCAAAAGTATGACGAAAGTTATCTGCATAGCATAGTTGTGATACGTTTTACTAATTATCATTTGGGAAAGAAAAAAAAAGATAAATTTTCAACCCTCACCTTCCAGGCTTGATGATTCCACTAACATCATTCAGAATTGAAAATGACTTCTTTCTTTTTGGGAGAACGTGGAAATAATTCAAGGCACCCTACAAATATAATGATAGATGTTAGAGTAGTTTTAGTTTAATTTAAGCAATATATATTACTAAATTAAAATTCTTTATATACATATATAATATCACGGTATTATATGAGATTATTAACACCTAGTACTTGTTTTTCTTTTTTAATATGTTTGCATAATTAAGGTAAATTACCTCAATCACATCGATTGTGAAGTTGAACATTGTAGGCAATGCTCTTGTCCCCGCATACGCTTCTGCTTCTACAGTTAAATGTTCGACACGAACTTCGATTTTCGGAAATTCTATCCCAACCCTGATCAATATGAGTTGTGATGTAGGCAAAAATCAAAATATCTTGTTAACTTCATAATGAAATATTAAATTAATGCTACACCACTAATGTTATTTATTTTTTGGTTAAATTCATCAAATGTTTAACACACACCATTCCAAGAACGTTACAATCTACACAATAAGAGCTAGAAGATAAAATTTAATATCATGTGGTGGATTTAGTATTGATGCATCAGGCTTGAGAAAATGGCAAAAATAGGCTCTTATATTTAGGGTTATTGGTTCTAAATGATCTATCAAATATATTCCTAAGTAATTTTTGTCATATAACATTGACAAAAATAAACATTTCTTTTTTAATTTCCATCAAATATTTACAAATTATGGCTACTTGATTTTACGGGAGCTATACATTTTTTTTATTTCTATAAAATATTTATAAACTATGACCACTTGATCTATATGAGCCATAAAAAAAAGGATTTAATCACATATATCACGAAAGTCTCATCAAATCTCAATAACAAAAAAAATTGCACTATACACATAATAGATTAAAAAAAGTACTTGGTAAAATTTTTAATGTATATCAAAAGTGGTCAAAAATATATTTAAACAATGTTCATATACCATTTCAACAATCAAATGTGTTAAGAATATTACATACCTATGAAATCGTTGTTTGAGCTTTAACAGGAAGTTGTGATTGTCTTCTTCTGCTTGAGGAATGTTCATAAGTCTATTCAACAAATTCCTTTTCTCTTCCATGCTAAGACTAATTATTCTTTCATCATCACTTCCTCTTCTTATAACATTATCATTATTATTATAAGTTGGAACATCATGCTCATTATCTTCCCATTTCAATACTTCTTCTTCATCCTTTTTCCATCTATTTGAATCACTAATTTCAATACCTTCCATAATTCAATGTTGCAACAAGCTAAGCCTTCCCACTAATGGAACAATTAGTATATATGTTCCTTTTTTCTAATCTTTAAATGATTTTATTTTATAGAATATGTATATATTTTAATAATTTTTTGGTGTATAAGAACTAGTTGTTACACAACGTGCATAAGTAAATTATATACATCTACAATGCCTTCTAGATGCCAACTAGCACTTTCGGTTCATTTCATTTTTTATATAATATATACTACTAAATTTGAATAGTTCTTTTCTCCCAACTTAACTTACTTATATATATTTATTATTAATTATAAAAGAAGGATTGTTTGCAATGTCATTAAGCCAAGTAATAAGCTATTGAAAATCATATGATAATTTTAGGATAATATGTATATTTACTAAGAAAATGGTACGACAAGGATATACCAGTCTTAGTTTAACTCCTTTAATTTGTATCGATATTTGTTAGCAATTGAATATGTTGATTAATGTAATAAATAAAAACGAAATACAGATAATAAAGTATGTAAAAGAAAGCGGTATAAAATGCTAGAGCGTTTGAATTTGTATCGATGATGAACTTTTGTATATTGGATCCAATGTTGTCCAATGACTCTAAGACTCAGATATCAAAGAACGATATAGTAAATTAATGCTATAAAACAAAGACTAATTAATGAAATATGAAAAGCTTGGTTTCAAGAGTCATTGTGTGTTGATGGCGTATTTCTTGGAATCAAGTGAATTACAATTGTGCCAAAAATACCAATTATAGGTTACAAAAGTAATACATAAATCAAAAGAAAAATATAACATCCCAGAATTTTTTTGTGCTAAGACTTGATCCATCCTTCGTAGTTAGTTGTCAAGGAATTTAAAATTTCTTTAGTGTTAAGGTCAGGTGACTAAATGTAAAACCTTGAGTTCTAAAAGAACTAAATTGTAAATAACAAAAATCTGAAATTTGGAGAGTTAAGCTAAGTATGAGTTTTGGGTCAACTTCAAACGACCATAACTCCTAGCATTTGACGAGTTAGGTGTTCTAAAATATTCTTAGGAAAGATCTTTGAATTATCTTTCCAACTCCACCAAGTTTTCTAAGTTTCGTGTTCGTATGAGTGAGATATGATCTTTTGAATTTACACTGTCCAGCTGAAAATAGTGAGGGATATTTTGGTCTTTTCCTTATCCAATCCGATTTAATTCATTTTTAGCAATATTTTAGGGGTGTAATCCTATTAGGTTCATTTTTATAATCCTAATATACGCCTTGTTAGGTAGTGGAGCCTGATTAATTTTAGGTTTTCCTATTTATTCTCTATTTTAGGCTTTCCTATTTATTCTCTATTTTAGGTTTTCCTATTTATTCTATGTAACAAAAATTACTCTGATTAATTAATATAAATATACCTCACCGCCGTGGAAGTTTACACGGGGTGTTACCACGAAATATTGAGTTTTCTCTTTCTCTCTCTAAATCTCTCATCTCTTTCTCAAGAAAGTTCTTGTGTTCTTCATTCATCTAGTGTGTGTGCGTGCATTCGATCCCAACTACTGGTAACAGAGCTAAGGAGATTCAACACGATCACAGAAGATGGATAGTTCGAAGCTTGGAATAAAAAAGTTTGATGGATCCGATTTCAGTTTCTGGAAGATGCAGATCGAAGATTATCTATACCAGAAAGATCTTCACGAACCGTTGACCGGGGTGAAATCGGAATTCATGACGGAGGAGAAGTGGAAACTCAAGGATCGCCAGGCTCTAGGGTTGATCCGGTTGACTTTATCAAGAAACGTGGCGTTCAACATCGTGAAGGAGAAGACTACGTCCGGTCTTTTGAAGGCACTGTCAAACATGTATGAAAAACCATCGGCTATGAACAAGGTATATTTGATGCGTAGATTGTTCAATTTACAGATGTCTGAAACTGGATCCGTTTCTGATCATATAAACGAGTTCAATATGATTGTGAGTCAACTCAATTCTGTGGATATTAATTTTGAAGATGAAATTAAGGCGTTGATTTTGATGTCATCTCTGCCCGAGTCTTGGGATACTGTTGTTGCTGCGATAAGCAGTTCCCGTGGATCTGAGAAACTGAAGTTTGATGAAATTTGTGATGTTGTTCTTAGCGAAAGTATTCACAAACGAGAAGTGGGAGATTCATCGGGAAGTGCTCTCAGCGTTGATCGAAGGGGGAGAAGTAAGAAGAAAGGCAAAAATCAACATGGTCGATCAAAATCAAAGAATCGAGGAAAATCACTGAACAGATCAAACGTGACTTGTTGGAACTGTGGAGAAAAAGGGCACTTTCGGACGAACTGTACAAAGCCAAAGAAGAAACAGAATCAGAAATTTGGAGATGACAATGATTCTGTAAATTCAGCAGAGGACATTGGGGATGCTCTAATCCTTAGTGTGAACAGCCCGGTTGAATCATGAATTTTGGATTCTGGTGCATCTTTCCATTCGTCTCCAAGCAAAGAGTTGTTCCAAAACTTCAACTCTGGAAATTTTGGAAAAGTATATCTGGCTGACAATAAAGCTTTAGAGATTGAAGGAAAGGGGGATGTTTGCATAAAGACCACCTCGGGAAACCAGTGGACATTGGAGGATGTCAGATATATTCCTGGGATCAAAAAAATCTGATCTCTGTTGGTCAGTTGGATAGCACGGGATATGCAACAGAGTTTGGGAAAGGTTCTTGGAAGATCGTGAAAGGTGCTATGATAGTAGCTCGTGGTACCAAATCTGGAACCTTGTACACCACTGCAGGTATAAACATGGTCGCTGTTGCTGAAGGTGCTTCCGGTTCATGTCGGTGGCACAACAGACTTGGACACATGAGTACTAAAGGAATGAAGATGCTTGTTGCAAAAGGAGCATTAGAGGGTCTGAAATCTGTTGATATGGGTCTTTGCGAGAGCTGAAACAGAAAAGAGTAAGCTTCACAAAGACTCCTAGAGAGACAAAGAAAGTGCGGTTGGAAATGGCCCATAAAGATGTTTGGGGACCATCTCCAGTATCATCACTTGGAGGATCCAGATTCTATGTTACCTTCATTGATGATTTCAGCAGGAAGGTATGTGTTTACTTCTTGAAGCATAAGTCAAATGTGTTTGCAACTTTCAAGAAGTGGAAGCTGAAGTTGAGAATCAGACTGGTTTGAAAGTCAAATGACTAAGGTCTGACAATGGAGGAGAGTATGACAAATCAGAGTTCAAGGCATTCTGTGCAGCTGAGGGAATCAGATTGATGAGAACAGTTCCTGGTAAGGCATGGCAGAATGGAATTGCTGAGAGGATGAGCAGAACATTGAATGAGCGTGCAAGGAGTATGAGGTTACACTGTGGGCTACCCAAAACACTTTGGGCGGATACTGTGAGCACAGTTGCATACTTGATCAACAGGGGACCATCAGTTCCTTTAGGGTTCAAGATTCCAGAGGAGGTGTGGACAGGAAAAAAACTCAAGTACTCACACTTGAGGACTTTTGATTGCACTGCTTATGTTCATGTTGATCCAGAAAAGAGAGACAAGCTTGATGCCAAGGCTGTGAAGTGTTACTTCATAGGATATGATTCTGATTTGTTTGGTTACAGGTTTTGGGATAACAAGAACAGAAAGATCCTGAGACATTGTGACGTGACATTTGATGAGTCTGCCGTGTACAATGACAGAGAGCAGAAGGTTCTAGAGATTACAATGCAAGTGGGAGTTGAGGTTGAGTTGGGGTTGAGTTGGAGAGGAGTAACCCAGAGATGTCGAAGCAGATACTCAACCAATTCCTACTGAAGAATCTGAAGTGGAGCAAGTTACACTTGAGCAGGTGTTAAGGAGATCATTCAGATCCATCAGGGCACCAGATAGGTATTCACCTTTATTACACTATCTATTGCTGACTGATGAGAGGGAACCAGAGTCTTTTAATGAGGCCCTACAGGTGGAGGATTCGATCAAGTGGGAGAAAGCCATGGATGATGATATGAGGTCACTTGAGAAGAATGACACATGGGTGTTGACTGAGTTACCTGCAGGGAAGAGAGCTTTGCTGAACAAGTGGGTGTTCAGAATCAAGACTGAACCAGATGGCAAAAGAAGGTTCAAGGCTCGTTTAGTGGTTAAAGGATATTCACAAAGGAAAGGTATTGATTATGCTAAAATATTCTCTCCTGTTGTGAAGTTAACCTCTATTCGAATTCTGTTGAGTATTATTGCATCGAAAAATTTGCATCTAGAGCAAATGGATGTAAAAACAGTGTTTTTACATGGAGATCTGGACAAAGAGATCTATATGCAGCAAGCGGAAGGATTTGTGGTTCCAGGCAAGGAACACATGGTGTGAAAGCTCACCAGGAGCTTGTATGGACTAAAGCAAGCACCAAGGCAGTGGTATAAGAAGTATGACACCTTCATGACCAAGAGCAGATTCTGCAAAGCTGAAAAGGATCCTTGTTGTTATTTCAAGAAATACACTGATTCATATGTCTTTCTACTCTTGTATGTGGATGATATGTTGATTGCAGGATCTAGTATGAGGGAGATTAATAATCTGAAGACAGGTTTGTCTGCAGCGTTTGAGATGAAAGATTTGGGTCCAGCAAAGCAGATTTTGGGAATGAAGATTTCTCGGGATAGATCTGCTGGCACTTTAAATCTATCTCAGGAGTTGTACATTGAGAAGGTGCTGAGCAGATTCAGAGTTAATGATGCTTAACCCAGGACTACTCCATTGGCAAATCACTTTAAATTGTCAAAGGAGCAGTCACCCAAAACTGCCGAGGAGCGTGATCACATGGCACTTGTTCCATATGCTTCAGCAGTTGGTAGTTTGATGTATGCTATGATCTACACTAGACCTGATATAGCACATGAAGTGGGAGTAGTTAGCAGGTACATGGCGAACCCTGGGAAAGAGCATTGGGAAGCTGTGAAGTGGTTTCTGAGATATCTGAGAGGTACATCCAGTACTTCACTTTGTTTTGGCAAAGGCAAGGTGACTCTACAGGGTTTTGTGGATGCTGATCTTGG